CTCGGGCTGGCTCCGTGGCTTAGCGCTTAAGTGTGAGTGCTCCACTACTGGCGGCCTGGGTTGGGATCCCGGGCGCGCACCGACGCACCGCTTCTCTGGCCATGCTGAGGCCGCGTCCCACATACAGCAACTAGAAGGATGTGCAACTATGACATACAACTATCTACCGGGGCTTTGGGGAAAAAAAGGAGGAGGATTGGCAATAGATGTTAGCCCAGGGCTGGTCTTCCTCAGCAAAAAAAAAAAAAAAGAGGAGGATTGGCCTGGATGTTAGCTCAGGGCTGATCTTCCTCACACACAAAAAAGTGTCTGTCTCATTAAGGGTGTATACTGCTATTATATCCCCTGCTGCCTCTGGGAAACTATTATAGCAAGAATATGTGTTAAATATGGTTTTATTGCCTTTGACCAAAAGGCTTGTTGACCAAAACCTGTTGAATCAATAAATATTTCTTGCCTGAAATATTAAGCAGGGCCAAGAAACACAACTATTAACTTTACCTTGAAAAATAATCTTCTGAATTAGAAAAGCAGGGAATGGTTACACTATCCAGGAGAGATTATTAGAAAAATCTACATGAGAAATGGAACTCAATCGCTGCCAGAAACCCAACCTTCTTTCTTCAACTCAAAATTCTTCAGACCTGCTCCTTTCTCTAGATCTCCTAACTCCCCACAAGTATTCCAAGAGAAAGAAGACTGTTAGGTAGCCTGCAGGCCCTCTGAAAATGGCCATAACCTGTGATTCTATTTGTTTTTTGCCTCTCTGGTCCAGGGACAGGCGAAGAAAGTGCTACAGAAGGAGCCGCAGCCACTGTTTCCACTCAACCTGCTTCCCTCCTTCTCTAATTCTGTCTGCACTGACAAGCTGTTGAGGAAAGCCTGGAACCCAAAAGGCATTCCCGTCTGGAAGTCAGTTTGAAAGAATACTCAATTTATAAAAACATAATATGCATAATTTTGTAGAAAGAGAAACTTACATTTAAAACAGAAAAAAATGACTCGGGGCTGGCCCCATGGCTTAGCGGTTAAGTGCGCATGCTCCGCTGCTGGCGGCCCGGGTTGGGATCCTGGGTGCGCACGGATGCACCGCTTCTCCGGCCATGCTGAGGCCACGTCGCACATACAGCAACTAGAAGGATGTGCAGCTATGACATACAACTATCTACTGGGGCTTTGGGGGGAAAAATAAATAAATAAATACAATTATAAAAGAAAAAAAAGAAAGAAATGACTCAATAGGAAATGCGGCTTGCCCTTGGTACAGTGGCATAAGTGGAGGGAGTCAGTTACCATAAAGGGGAAAAATACATAGGCCAGCATCCAAATACGTGATACTTTTTAGAGTCATCTTTCTGATGGGGCAAACATCCCAAATTATTGCTTTATTGCTTATGTAATAAAAGATCATAATAAACGAAACTCGGAGTAGAGATCATTAATGATAGAGGACGCTATTTTCCTTTTTTTTTTTTTTTGCAGAGAAATCACTTAATATCTTTCTCATCACCTTTTAAGATGGGCTAATGATTTCCCACTCTATATGCTGCAGGGAGACACTGTCAGGTAAAAATGGCACCATGAAAAAAGAATTTGAACTTTTTGGAGCTAAGTGTTATCTAATGGGAGGAAATCATTACATGCTGTTAAAATTTAATATTATTTACACAAAGATTTCATGAGTTCTATCCATGTGTGTATCTGAGCAGTACTGAGAAAGGATTTATTGCTCTATGACCTACCCAAGTTACTTCCCTCTCTCAGCCTCAGTTTCCTCATCTGTAAAGTGGGGATACTGATAGTACCTACCTAATACAGCCAAGTGAGACAATGCACAGGAAGTGCTTAGCATAGCAAAGCAGGCATTTTATGATCAAAAGCAAATTAATTTTCTCAGTTCCAAATATGAGCTAAAGTTTGCTGTCAACTTATTCATAACCCATCATTGTGTGATGAAAAGATTACTGAGTTAGGAGCTCTAGTCTCTAGTGACAACTAGGCAAATTACTTAACCTCTCTGGATTTCTATCTCTGTCTTTACAATGAAGGAGCTGGATTAGAGGATCTCTGAGGAACTTTAGTTCTAAAGTTCTGTGATTTATGATTTTTTCATTTTTAAACAAAGTTTTAATAAAATTTAACACAGGAAGTATTGTATGCTTTAGCAATTTATATTTTAATGTACTTCAGATTAAAATTGTATTGTGCAATATTTAAAACACAGAAGGATATGGAAAATGATACATGTACCTGTCATTCACTTTAAGAAATAAAACAATTTTTTTTTATAGATTTGGAAATGCTGTGGGTGAAATTCAATTATATTTAAAGGTGTAAAAACAAGATTGAAATCACTGCTTAAAGAGAAAAGGAAATTACTTTGGCTGCCCATTGTTTCTGGTAGAAGGGTGTTTTTATGTCTATGTGGCTCTGACGTTATGTTAGGTGGAGGCCAAAGCAGACAACAGGCCTCTCTTGGGAACATTTCATCTAACTGAAATGGAATGAATATAGTTTAGCAACAACACACATCTAAATCAAACATCGACCCTGAAGTTGATATGCATCTCATTTGCAGTAACAAGCCTTTCACGGCAATCCAGGCCATGATGGAAACATCTCGACATAGAATTGGATTCAAATTTTGGTTCCTTTCCTTTCTAAGTGTGTGACCTTGGGCAAGTTATGTAACCCGTCTGTGCCTCAGTTTCTTCATAAAAAGGGGCTAACCTTATGGTTGTTGTGAATATTAAATAAGATAGTACATGTAAGGCTCTAAGAACAGTGCCTGACACCTAGAGAAAGCTCAGTGAATATTAGCTATTATTATTATCCAATTCCATAAACAATTACTGGATGTCTATTATGTAGTAGTCTCTGTACTAGACACTGAAATACCTCTAGGGGCATCAGCATTCTGTGTCTGGTCTTCAAACAATGTGTCACAGAGTTAGAGATGAAATTCTGGTAAATTCAGCAGTCCAGTGGGACCCAAATTAATCTAGAAAAAAGGCCGGCCAGCCATTTGGAGTCAGATGACTTTTTAAATTCAGGAGAGGATATGAAATGTAAATGAAGTAGTTACTTAAGGTCTTGCCTTTAAGTTGTTGAGTTCCTGTGCCAGGTTTTAGAGAGTGCATTATGATGCATATTAAAACCCCTGTGACATTCAAAGAGTCAAACATGCCTGATTAGACTTTCATGTCCTGTATCTATAAAAAGGTTAGTGGTGCATTTCCTCAGTGCAAATTATTTTTGGCTCTTACTAATATTTATGAATATAATAAAGTCTATACAGCATAATGTATGTAATGAATTTGTTCCAGTCACCAGCTTGCTTTTATTGAAGGAGATATTCCAGAAGATGCTACATCTTGACCAGTAATTTCAGCAGATAGGGAGTAGGCAATACACAGGAAAGGACAATAGGACTTTAGCACTATGGGACAAAATGAGAAATACAATCATGGCAATAATGCATTCTCTTATACTAAAAATTTATCATGGAAATGATGTAGGAAGACACGCCTTTTGCAAAAGGTTTCATTGTGATGCTTCCGTGGTGTTCCAAGCCTCGCGTATACAACAAGCAATCAGTGTTTGGTTTGCGAGTTGCCTTGGGTGGATATGCCCACAGGGCATGAAAAGCAGGTTTAAGGTGATGAATTCAACAGGAGCTGACCATTTGGTCAGTCATCTTGGGTTGGACTGGCTTTGGCACTGGCTTCTTTGGTTGCTTTTGGTGACTTTGGGGTAATATTAAGTAAATGTAAATACATGTGCATCCCAGCTATCATCTACCTCTGCCTGTGGGGTTTTGACAGATACCGAATATTTGGTCCCTAACTCCTCCTACGGCCCCTTCATTTGCACATTTTGCTCGGTTAAGACACTGAACATACAGTTCATAACCTTTCCATTATACAACCTTTTCTAAGTCGAAATAATGAGGCAACCTTTCTCAAAAACTCTTGATGTAAAGAAGAAAAGTGAATGGGTCTCTTCTCAATAATAGGCATCTTGAACTTAAGCATTTACTAGGATAGGAAGAATACTACAACAGCCAGAAATAACTTGGAAGCTCATGTATCCAAACCCAGTCATAGAAGGTTAAGTAGAATAAAAGGGTTCTGGATTCTCTTGCCCTTAGGTATCGTTATTTGCCCATTTCCACAAGGCTGACGGCTTTTAAATATTAAAACCATCCCAAAAGGCATCCCACCCCCCCTCCTCGCCCCATTACACAAGTCACAAATCACTGCTCAAAGGAACAAAATGCGCCTGCGATAGTCCCCCATTTGGGTGCAGTCATGATTCTGCAGAGAAAGGAGAGTCTCAGAATTAACGAGCTGGATATATTTGGGCAAGGACTTGGGCCTTCCCGGTAAAACATAAAAACAAAACAATCAACACCGCCCCTTCCCCC